CTTTATCGATTCATGGACTCCTTGTTGACTATTGTTTTTGAGTAACAAATATAATATATAAATTACGACACCTGCTATCAATATACCCAACACAATTTTAACAATGAATGACTTGAACAAATTTTGATAATTCCATTTCTTTCTTGTATTTTTTTCTTTGAACAACGGACTGAAACGAAGAGGTAAAATAATTAGTGCACATGAACAAAATCTGTTTTAAAATATTAATATAAACGGTTTGTATACAGTACATAACTTATGGGTGTAACTAATGGGTGTTAATGTATTATATTTAAATAAATTGTAAGCATTTTCGCTATAATACTAACGTGTTTTCTCCATTTTGAGGTTTTATATCCATTTCGTGTGCCTTTATAAAATTGACTAACATTTTTAAATATTCAAATAATACACAGATAATGTTGAACAAATCGTAATCTGATGGATGATAATGCATACAATTTTAAAGAATTATTCACAATATCAAATTATTATAAATAATTAAACTAATAATGTAATCATAGTGTTTATTACCATTGTAAAATATGTTAAATTGTAATCATGACTAATTTTAATGATTTTTAGTATTTCATTAATGGTTAGAAGCTGAATAATAGCTATATTTTCAGATAAATATTTAATAAATTTACAGTTTATTGACCATTGAAGTGTATTTAATATGAACTATATTTACTAAATATAATATATAATATATTATAATAAATAAGTTATTTTAGATAAAACAACTAGGGAGGAAATTAAACCTATAATTGATTGTTTCATATTATGCAAATAATATAACGATTACCAGTACAAAAATATAGGTACATCGTTAAGAATGATGCCAATTTAAGTATAATAATAAATAATGTAAAAATTATAAGATTGTTATAATAATATATTTGCTTTTAATATAAAAGTATTAGGAACATTTAAATATTAATGTAGCTTATTGACCGGTTATAAGTGGCCCTCAATGTATACATAATTGACATTTTGTAAATCCCTAATTTTAATAATATATAGTATATTACCTAATACAACATTGTAATTTATGATATTTTTAGCAATAAAGATTAAAACTTTCAAAAATGTTAACATGATTATTGAAAACTTAAAAAAATGATTGAATAATTAATAACTTATGTAATTTAATAAGTTGATCGTAAATGATTGCGTAATTTAGTCGTAAACTAATTGATTATGCCCGAAACTTTACGCAGATATAGAATTAAAGTTAAAGTTTACCAAAAATAGTAAAAATTATTCAAATGTAGTGTTAAAATTGTAATTTTAATAATTTAAGTTTAAACATAATATTTTATACTGTTTGAAATTTTTGTACGATAGCACTCCGAGACATGTTATGGTACTTGAATTGTACCACAAACACATATAATGGTGTTTGAGAACGCGATAAGAATTTGTTATCTACTAATGAAACCGAACAGTTTAACTATAATTAGAGGACCACGAAACAAAAAAATAATTTTGGTTTAATTAATGTATAGTTAATAAGTATAACTCTCGGTGGTACTAAAATTAATTAACGTCGATTCGTTGAGGCACTAGATTCCAAAAGAGATATTCGCGTGACGTCGCAAGACTATACTATCTATCCTAAACTGGGATGATGCAAATTATAGATTGTCAACAAAAAATTAGAGTCTGGCAGATTAACTCGTAAACTCCGATTTATTATCATTAATATACGCCGTTCTGTGCTATTTTTTTTTTTTTTTTAATGTTTGTACAGTTAAACAAATGGAAATTTCTGTGAATTTATATTTAGGAGGAACAGAATTTGGGTGTTGATTTTATTTCTTTATTAAGCTTCAAATTCTACCTTTTCAAACATAGGCCTTTTTGGCACATAATTTTGAGATTGATTTTACTTATTTATTAACATCAAAATTCTATCATTCCTCCCAATTGCTTTAAATTACGCACAGAAAGCCATTTTTACTTCACTGAAGTATTTTTTTGTGGATAATTTACCATATTGGAATCGTCAATGTAGTCTTGACTATTTATTTATACTTATTTATATTATATGTTATATTCGATAAAGTATTTATATAATTATAGATTTATTTTACATGTCTTCTATTATAAATAACTTTGTAGTGACAACAATGAACGGACGTATGAAAGTACTCTCTTTGGATTATTATGCTTTCATCTAAATTGTAAAATAAGTCACATTATATATTGACGAATGACGATCAACTATATTTTGTTTACACGTCTTTGTAAACGAATGTATTATTTGAATATTTTAATATTTTTATCATTTGCATCTTGTTTTACGAAGTTAAGTAATACATTATAGTATTATAATAGTTTTAATTAAATTTATTAACAATAGAAATTTATTAATTACATACATACATTATATTAAGTTAAAATAGCTAGTACCTATAATTTACTATATTATAGTATATTATATATTACAGAATAAGAAATGTTCTCGTGAAAATAAAATATGTTTTTTAATAGATTTTATTAATTTTTGACAGTGCAATACAAATAATTAAAGATATCAATACGTCCATATAGTTTTGAACCCATTGTAAACAATAATGTCTATGAACATACTGATGCTAATTGGCGAAAACCAATTATGGAAAATGTATTCAATTTAGCTAAAAAAAAAAAAAACTAATTGGAGAATACTGGAGTGATAGTCGGCCAAAACCAAATAGAAGTATTTACATTTGCAGATAATCTAAATATTTTAAGAAACTCCATAGAAGATATAGGTACATAGTATTCTTAATAATTAGTTACACCCAAGTTCTAAGCAGCCAGTAAAATAGTTTTGAAAAACAATTCCGAAAATACCTAAACAATGAAGACAACATCTATATAGGATCACTAGCCTTTGAAAAAATTCATGAATACCAGTTCTTAGGAATAATATTGAGTGCTAAAAATGACTAGTCTATAGATATAGGTTTGAGGATTTTAAAAGCTGAAAGAATGTAATTTTCTTTTTGTAGGTTTTTTAAATCAGAACTATTTTCCAAAAAAAAACCAAAGCAAGGTTATAAACGGCAGTTATAATATCCACACTTAACAAAGAACTACGAGGAGAAATAGGAATGGTATCAGTCACCAGCTCCATTAGAGGATAAAGACTCCAGTGGTTGGGACACTTGATGCGTTTTAGAGTGGAAATCAGTGGCAAATAGACTAGATAATCAGATAATTGTAAACAAAAATTATTTACATTCAGTATGAAAAATAATACAAAATAACAAAAAAGTTATGGGGGAAATATATCCCCCTTATCACCCCGTTTGACTGCCACTGCGTGTAGTATTTTGAACAAATAATATAATATGCATTGTATAAATGAACATTGATACAATTTAGAAAAAATAAAATAACCATATAAATCATGTTGCTTAATATTTTAAATTGCTGTTCATTCGAACAAATTGAGTGTTTAGTTTTAATGGATTCAGATCTAATTACTTATTTATCGGTGAATTTATCTAGTTTATTTCTTATCATAAATATGCTCTATTATTAATAGAAGGATTTATTTATTTTAATTTTTTGTACGCTCTTAATGATTATTATAAAAACAAAGGTACTTTTCGGTTATCATACTCCAACGGCCGGCGGCAGCGACTGGATAATACCAATTCCCTTATCGTGTTCTGTTTTTTAAAGCATAATATTACCTTTTAGCATATACATGTCAATCGTAAACATAATTTTGTAAGCCCAGATAGCAGAGTACATACTCAAAATATTGGGGGTTTATGGCGATCGGCTAAAGAATGAAATAAAAGACATTCTGGAACCAATCGGTTTATGTTAGATTCTTATAGTGAATTTTTTTTGGCGACAAAAACATAAAAAAAGCCGTTTATTTACTCAAATTATAAGCAACGTCGTTAAATTCATGCCTCCTTTATAAAAAGATTTTTATTTTTAATTCATAAACATATCATGTTTTATAATTTTTATGTATACATATTTTATTAAAATAAATGATATTTTTGGGACTTATATTTTACAGTTTATATAATAGTATAATGGTTATAATTAGTAATATAATAAAATTATAATTTTATCATATAGCACAGAGTACGATAACGGAATCGGTATTTCCTGGCCGCCGCCGTTGGAGTACGATAATCGAAAAGTACCAAAACAAATTCAATTTATGCACACAATTTTACAGAATATTATAATATGCATAAGATCGGATTGATAATTTAAAATGTCTTAACGAATGAGCAAATCGAATTTAAATAACAAAGTTTTATTTTTTTTTTTATATTCAGGTTATGTTCTTTTAAAAAATACACGTGATCTGTGAATAATAAAATATCCATGAATAAAATTGCTGAGAACGACAATATATTGAACGGAGTCTAAAAGAAGTTCCAATTAGTTCAAGGGTATTGTTATATTTTATAGTAGCAATAATTTTGTGAACATTTATCGAGTTCGATATGCATCGTTAATTAATTATCATAAACCAACTAATTTGATAATTTCAATGTTTATTTAGATGTTAATCACATGGATTCCACTCCGATAAACTGTCTTCGTTTAGTGTTATGACGTAAAATCAAAACGTTCCAATAATATTCAAGCTTTCCGATCCAAAGTGCGTTCGCCAAATTATCAAAGTATCCTTCGTGTACGATTTCACGTCCTTCGCATAGAGGATACTCGCTTATTTGCAGTCGGTACACGGACGTATTTGAAAATAAAATATTATTCCGTTTTCAATTTGTTGTTCGATCGACACGCGATCGGATCAAAACGCAGAGAGTATTATAACATACAAAGTACGTGGCACTAGTGCGTTCCCCAATGATAATTGAACGGCACCCGGTGGTGGGTGATCGAGCGCCACTGATTATACACACGTTCTCATAACGACCGTAATGACAGGGGTTGATTTTTCTTGTATGTTCCTCTGCATAAGAACACCAAGTCTACGAACTATTCTTGCGGTAGACAATTTTATTGAAGCGAAAATTACTTAAAATATGTTCGAACGCCCAACGTACCGGATCGGAGACATGTACAACGGCGCGCACCGCACATCGATTCGGTGACCCGGTGTCCCCACCCCAACAGGGGTCTGTTGATAAAACGCGACGCAGGCCGGATACACACCGGTACACGTTTAATGCAATCCGCAACGCACAACCGTGTACGGTGTTACTGCATCCTACGCGCCCGCACAGCAAACGCTGTCTGACCGCACGAGTGGCCGGTACGTTTTTATGAAACGTTACGTAACAGCACAACACCGTACGGTAAACCGGTTGGGGAATCGTTCAATCATTAACATGACTATTTCCACGAAAAGTTTTTTTTAACTGGGATTTAGAAGATGGAACGGAACACGGGAAACGTGTTAGCATTTGTCCGCAAAAACAAACCATTCCCGTTGGACGCAAAGTATTGTAAAATGAAATAAATTGTTGAAACATGATTCGTAACGATTACGTAACACGTACACATGTACGTAAATGGTTTTTTTTTTCAACGCAAATGCATAGAATACACATCGTACGTGTACGTACGGTACTCGAGAGCAAACCGAGACCGAGCAGACGGACGGACCGGAGAACAACCGTATATACAGGGATCGACCCTGAACGCGCACACAACCCGGACGTTCGCAGCACGTGGACTGCGCT